GCAGGAAGTGGGTAATTTATGGCTATCAAGATATTTTGGCATACAACCCTCATCAGCCCTAACCAGGATAGCAAGTAATGAGGGATGAGAAAAGTTATTGACCAAAACAGGAACTCTTTCAGTGAGATATTTGTAACTTCTTAGACCCAGAAGAGATCCCTTTATGGCTAAATTTAATTAACTAGGTAGAACAAAAATTAACTGCTCAGCCAGACTCATCCATGGTGGTAGATTGGACAGAAGTGGAACAGTCAGTGCTATAGAAATGCATATATTATGGAATTTAAGTAATGATAGATATGGTAACTTTGAAATGTCACAGTATGCTTACTGATGGTAAGCGAACTAGCAACCTTCCCATTGGGGAAGTGTCTGAAAGAAGCCTATGATGTCGAATCACTGTTCCTTTCTCCCAGTTTATCCAAATCTCACCACTCTATCTCTTCCTATCAGTAAGTATTCTAACAGGAATACCCCATACTCCTGCACATGAAAAGTAAACACAATGCTCATGTTCTTATGGCCCCTGAAGAGCTGATTTGTGTCTTTGCTTTGGGGAAAAGCTTACCATTCAAGCCAACATTTCTCCTAAAATCATGATCACTGAAAAGATTAAGTATGAAGATGACAAATGTATTGGCTCTTTGATATGTAATAACAACAGTGGAAATCACCATGGCATGTCATTACATTTGATAGCTTAAGACTACTGGCTGTTGTAATTGTCTTTCTGAAGGAGGGACTCATATGCTGTTTTAGAGCTTGTATAAGCAAGTTTTAACCAGTATCTAAATTCAAAGCGCCATGCAATACATTCCGTTGATGACAGCCCAGCCTCAAACCATAAAACTGCTAATGGTACACGATTAGGTCTGCCAAAATGTTGAAACAAAAAGGTTGAGAATATTTGTTCTAAGGTGGAGGAAAAATCCAAAAGCCAAACTGGGACTCCAGACAGCGGTATCAACACCTTAGCCTTAAATATTCAAGAGTGCATCAGGAATATACTGCACTCCTCTAGTATAAAAGGAATGGACTATCACTTTGGCACTCTTAGATGATGATTGTAAATAAGACTCATGATGGGTCACCCAAGAAAAACAATCCCTAGGTATTTAAATTTTTTAACCATAGGTTGTTAGTTCTATGGACTAACCACCTATGACCTACTTGCTCAGGTAGAATCTCCTAGAAAAGACCATAATTTTGATTTTATCAAAGTTAATAGATAAAGCATTTTCATTACAGTAACCAATAATAGCTCTCAGCATTCATTTGAAACCAACTTTGGTAAAGAACAGCATCATCTGCATATAAAAGTATAGGGATACTAACTGTGGCCAATTTGGGGGATGAAAATCTTAAGGAGAAACAAACTCAAGTAGGTCACTAAGGTACAGATTAAATAATGTGGGTGCAAGTATACAACCTTGACATACTCCTCTAGTAACAGGGATCGTGTTAGTCAGGGTTCTCCCCACTCCACGTATCCCTTGTACAGTAGTGTTCTGATGTGCACATATAATATAATAAGTAATCTTTTATCAGTGGAAAAAGAATAAAGATTAGCCCATAGCATATTCCTTGGAACTGAATGTTTTTGATCACAGCTTCTATCATTGGTCATGCTGGCTGAGGTTCATGGCAGTTGTAGACCAAAACATCTGAATGGCACCAGCTCTTGAAAGGCTAAACAATCTGCTGGAATAGGGACTAACTGTCACCTTTAAACAGGATCATTTGTCTCTGTTAGGAGGTGTGGATAGGCTGTCCTGAGTTGTTCAGAAATTGCCAAATCAGTGAATTGTGAACATTATTCATTTTACCCAACAACCCTGTTAATTTAATGTGACACTGGAGAGGAAAAAGATAAGATTTCTAGTGTGTTTGATCTTTCCAGAAATTGTTGATTCAATCATTTCAGCCTATGTTTTTTATCTCTGGAAAAAATACTGTGTAAAAGGTGTTCATATGAAGCTGCCTTATATTGGTCCATCTAACTCAGAGTTGTCTTTGCCAAGTGGCAATAATTTTCCAAAGTCTCTAGAAGGCCTTTCCCAGCCTTTCTAGCAAGGACTTTTACACATGAAGCATGCAATCTACCCATTGAACCCCAAAGTTTCTCCACAGCCACAATTAGTTTAAACTGATTATTGAAGGCTTCAGGAAAGATGTAAAAGGGACAGAACAACTGCATATTTGTTTCTCATTTTTCCACCTTTTATTGTGTTTTTGCAGGCATTTTAAGTATAAGAGAACTGCTAGAGAGCTACTTTTGGAAGGCCCTTGTGCAATTTAAACAGCTGAAAAATGGGAGCAGTAAGAAGAAATCTGGAGGCAGCGATATGGAAAAGAAGCCTAGGAAGAAAGAGATAGATATATGACATGTGTAGAAGTTTGAAGTAAAGGAAATAGAATTTGCAGTGGGTATTTTAAAGGATTGCATGTTTGAAAACAGCAGTTCAAGTAGGGATCCTTAAGGTAAAAGTATAAAGCCTGAAGGGGTTCATTGACATACTAGTGCAGGAAGAAAACTGTAGCCAGGTTTGAGTGCTAAATAAGGTGAGCAGTGCCACTTCAGTCATGTCAGTGGTGTCACTGTGCAAAACTGGAAAGTGATCCATGTTGGCTGTCACTGGTTCAGTGTGACTTACAAGTCTTGTGTGCTCTCAGTCGACATGCTTAAAACACACTGATCTTCTGTGGAAAAGTTTACAGTGAGGTGCACTTCAGGTGCCTGTAGTCAGACCAGGCCTCCATTAACTGTCCTCAGATTTATCTCTGCACTAGCTTTATCATGAGTCTTACCTGTTCACAGCAAAAAGTTGCATAAGCACCAGTTCTACAAATTAACAAGTATGAAGTGTTATATATCTCTAACTTCTGTGATGTTATTGTTAAACCAGCAATACAAGATTAAATAGTTCTTGATATTCACTGACCATTTTCTGGTCAGTATAAGGGAAGAAAATCACCTCATTCTGAAATTGATCTCAGCTACCTGCACACATGCAAGTATAAATATATAGCAAATAATGTGTTTAGGCAAGCTAGTATATTGTACTGATAGGAGAATGTGCTGTGAGCCTAAGTGTCCATGGTTCAAAGCTCACCTAAGTTATAAATAAACAGACATAAAAGCATCCTTAATGCATTAGTATTTATCTTAGGGGAAGGGCACAATACAAAGAAAGAGGAGCATATTTAGTTGTGCACTTTATTCCCATTTATAACATGGTATTCTCATTGACTTGGGAGCATGAATGGTAGCAGTTACTCCCCACCCATATTTCACCAAATCTGTGTCAGGAATCTGCAGATAATACATTCATAGATCTCCAGACTCTAGGCTGGAGTTTTGATATTTGGCAGATTAGGTCCTTTGCTGTAGATGATTTAATGCCAGTTCTTGAAACAAGTGCTTGCAACATTGGCGGGGGTCAAGTTGGAAGAAAAAACGTAATGTTCTGGTTAATGTTTGTGTCACATTCACAGAATCATTGCTGTCTTGCAAAACTTTAACAAAAACATACTGCCATAATGGGCATGTTTCCATTAGGTATCGGTATCATAAATGATATGTTCTAATAATTATTATAATCTAGGAAATCTATTTTTGTAAACCTTTAAATGAATAAATATCGGCTTGTCTGGAATAAATCTCACCTGTTGCTAAACATTCCATTTTAAACAGAAAGGGCCAAGGAAGTGCATGCAGTGAAGTGATCTTGGATACAGAATGTGAATTCTAGTTGGAACTGATTAGTTTTTAATGAGATCTCCTTCTGTTAAATATTGAACTTCACATTAAAAGGAAAGTGTGTTCTTCATTTGCAGAACATGAGAAGCTGAATATTTTGACATGTAAATTAAGCATTGAAATAACATCATTATTGTATACGCTTTTAAAATAGTTAAAATTACACTGCCTGTTATTCATAGCATTGTACCAATCCTAAGTTAAAACTGGGAAAGGACTGGTGCAAAACTATTAATACAGACAATTCTTTGGTTTCTTACTGACTTTCTAAATGACTGCAGATAAGTGAATTTTAGTAAGCAGGAAGTGTGCGTGTGAGACCTAAAGAGAGAGAGGAAGGGACAGAATATTTTATGTCTAATTAAGACAGAAATGCTTATGTTACCCTGAGGGTTAGCATATAAGATTAACTTATTTTCAGGTGATATGATTATAAAACCAAATAAAATAGCCACACCACCGGATATATGCCTATCACCTACTTTAAGTACCCTTCTGATGACTATAGAAGAGAAGCAGGTCACTTTCTGCACAACATAACAGATGGAAACAAATTTAACATAAAAATGACAAAATTGGAAACCAGTGGAATAATTTTAAATCTTGCAGGATACTTTATGATTGACTTCAAAGTCACCATTTATCTACAAAAAGGCTTTTGAAATGTCCCAGAGTTACTTGCTAAACTATAATTTGGTAGACAATGTGGAATTCAATCTGGGACTAATTGGGACTGTGGGCTTCTTGTACTTCTTGATCTTCTCCTACCTGACATTTGACATCATCAAGGCTGGTGCTACACACGTTAAATTTGTATTGAATAGTTAGAAGAGTATGGCAACTTGGGCTGATCTTAATTGTCAGTCTTCTCTTATTGTGTGCACTTTTGGACTATGCACAGAAATATAGTAGAAACCCACCAGTGCTTGTATTTCAGTCCTGTAGCCATACTTTTTAAAACCTTTTTTTAAATGCATCCATATATGTGTGTATCTGTGAAGTTATCTGTTGAGTGAGATAAGATTTCATTCATCTGATCTGTCCATGACAGCTCCTGGAACAATAAATCTGCCCTCAAGTTCCTGTAGAAGTCTTTGTAAGAATAAGTAAATTATCCATATATGTGTAACAGAATTAGGTTCAAGAAAACCCTTCTTGCATAATTTCCTGTATATGTGTCAGATCAACCTTTATTACCTTTTCTCTCACTTCCTTTCCTTTTCATATTTTTAAACACTAGCTGGAACAAATGGAGCTTGAAGTTCGAGAAATCCCTCCACAGAGCCGAGGCATGTACAGCAGTAGAATGAGGAGCTACAACCAAGAAATGGAAAAACTTGAAGCAGATTTTGTAAGTTAATTTATGTTAATGTTTTTAAATCTTAATATGTTATTTTAATTGTAACAACTGACTTTTCAACATTAATACAAAATTTTAGTTTTTAATATTTTTGTTTGTTTGAAATGGTCAGAAGACTTATTCAATAAAGTTATTCATATTCAGAATTCATGTATAATGTGTGAGGAGAAGTTTGTAGCATTTATAACATAACCATTTTTCCTTCAGTTAGCTTTAGGAATGATAGAGCATTCTCTCACCAATATACTGAAAAAGTAGCAGCAGGAATACCAAAATATTGCCTGTCCATTTTGAACAGAATCTCAGTAGTTTTATATGACGCTACAAAGAAGCACAAATTGCAATCTTGTTTGATCTTTTCTCTTAGCTTTATCCATCCAGAAAACATGGATGCTAGTAACTTTGCCCTTGCCCATTACTGAGGAACAAAAACATGTGCTATGTCGCTTAGATATACACTAGAAAACTGAAAATTGTAAATGCCTATTTTATAGAACAGGATTTAGGGGGATTTGGGTAATTACCAACTGGTTGATTTTTATTACATTGGTGGAAAATCTTATTATAGGTAAGATTAATGAGCATATTGAAGGACAAGTCAACATGGCTTCTGCAAAAGTATGTCCAGACTCTATCCTTTTAGACTTCTTTGAGAGTGCCCATAAATATGTGGACCAGAGCAATACGGTGACATTGTTTATTTGGACTTCCAAAAGGCTTTTGACAAGACCCTCAATCAAACATCCCTGAACAAACTGAGCAACCATGGAATTAAAGAAGGGGTTCTCTTATGGAGTGTAACTAGTTCAATCGTAGGCAAAGAATAGGAAATTCTTGCAATTAAGGCATCAGGACAATTGCCTTAAAACATCAGGACCTTACAATAATTATATTGGAATCATTTTCAAGTTTTTCACAGTCCCTCTTTGTTCTAACCACCCTAAAACCTGGCTACCTCACTGCCCACTTCTAATTCCAGTTCATTTATGAACCAATGAAAAAAGCACATTTGGCCATTTTCCATCTGCAGATTTCTTTAAGAGATCAGCAATGATTGGGCAATTCTAATTAAGAACAAGATTATAGGTAAACTCATTGTAGTACTGCCTTGTGTGCCATCAAGTTTCAAAGGGCCTCTTTTTAACAAAGCAATAGTTTAAAACTCTTCACAGTCCAATTCAGCTGCCTGTAACCTGCAACTCTGAGGATTATGAGTATCCTGTGCATGATGATCCCATTATCCTGTCATTCTTCCTGCCATGCAGAAAACATAAATTGCTGATTTTGGCCATGTTATCTTTGGATCCGTGGAATGTGAGGAGAGGAGACTAAGGCACTGCCAGGATACTACCCTGCCCTCAAATGGCCATCTCCAAGGTTGCTATTGCATCTTGGAGCTGCAGCCAAGGCTAGCTGCAAAGGTGAGAGCAGGGCACTCCAAATTCATAGTTCTAGCTCTGACCTTGGAGCAAGCTTTTGAGGTTGGAACTGGAACTCTGATATTAACCTATGGCTTCCCCAACTCTGTCTAGTGTCTGTATGATTGTTCTGCTAGATCCATTAATGGGCACTGCAGTTTTGGAACATCCACCTTGGCCACTCTACCAAGGAAGGTATTAATTAGCATTTCTTTCTTTTTTCTTTTTAGTTTGTATATAAAAGCTGAAGGGCACTTTACCAAGGTTTAATATATTGTAATTTAGTATTTCCGTTTTACCAGTATTTGTTGTATATCTGACTAATGGAAATCACTGCTCAATCCTGCTGTGCTGGCTGTCAGTTAAGCTCCCTATTTCTCAAGCTTATTGTCTATCTAGAATATTTTCACTTTTCTTTCTCTCCTTTTATGTCCGCCCTCAGCATTTGTTATCCTGACCCTGCATAAATGTATTCCTTCCTGCCTTGTTGCACTTAAAAAGTTGATAAACAGCTTAGTCTCTACTCAGCCATGGAATTAATGGAGTGACTTTTGGCCAGTCTCATAATCTCAGGCTAACCTACCTGGTAGGGTTGTTGTTGTGAGGATATAATGGAGAAGAACCTTGCAAACCACACTGAGTTCCTTGCAAGAAGAAAGGTAGGGTAGAAATGTAATTAATTATATTTATATCCCACCTTTCTTGTATTGTGGAACTCAAGGTGGCTAAATGCGGTTCCCGGGTGGTCTCTTCTCCAAGTTCAGGCAAGCCCCAGACTTGCTTAGCTTCAACATTGTGGAAGCCTTATTTGCCTTCAGACCATCCTTTGGGCCCTTCATTGTCATATCATCATCATATCATCATCACCCTGCATTGAGAGAACTCTACTGATGTCAGGAAAATTCAGGCAGTGAGTTTTACCTCTGCAGTTTTTCCCATTCTACACATGTATTGAGATGTATGCCACAGCTGCAACTTGTACCATTCAAGATGGTTTTGGATGACTGTACTAATGAAGATGCTGGGATAGCAGTTAGGCAGAGATAGCTGGTGATGCTATCCACTTATTCTGCATCCTACTGATCAAAATGGTAATGCCTAATTGAATTCCCATTCATATAACTTCCACTGCCAGCAGTGCCAAAACTATTGTGAAAATATAGCAGTTCTTGCACAAATTCCATTCTAAGAAAAGTATGCTCATTTGAGATACAAGTGGCTTTTTAGTCATGCAACTATAAGTCTTGGAAAGATTCCCTTGCATACTATTATACCTAGATATATCCCAATTATTCACATCCTTGAACAACTCTGGGCTTCAGAGATGTGGTGGATGTGGCAAACCATGGTGCAAAAAGGTGACAAAAATGATATGGAGGCTAGAGCAAATCCTGTATGAGAAAAGGTTACAGTATTTACACCTTTCTTGTTTAGAAAAATATAAGTATAAGAGGACATGTTGGGGACATAGAAAAATAAAATGGTATGGAGAAAGTGCAAAGGGAAAGGCTTTTCTCTCTAGAATATGCATGGTCATCCAGTCAAGCTGCATGTTGGGAGATTCAAGATAAACAAAAGAAAGCACTTTTTGGAGGGTGCATAGTTAAATTGTGGAACACTATCTAGTGATGACCACTGAGTTGGATGTCCTTAAAAGAATATTAGACACATTCATGGAAGATAAACTATTAATACCTGCTAGTTTTGATGGCTATATACTATTTCCAGGATCAAAGGCAGTGTATCTTGGAATACAAACAGTCCCTGGGTTCTGAATGGGTTCAATTCCTGAGAAAATGGAAATTTGTCTTTAAGTTGAATTTGTATATAAAGCAGATCATGTATAGATGGCCCTCCACATTTACATGGGTTAGGGGCTCAGGAGCCCCATGAAAGTGGAAAAGCTTCAAATATCACTATGGCCCTCCCCATGCAAACTCACTAGTACGTCTTCTTTGCACCAAGAAAATGTGGGAAAGATTTCTCTCTCTGGATGGACAGGGTAGGAAAGCAAGCTTTGGAGGTCTCTTCTTCCCTCCTTTTGCTTCCTCTCACTCTATGGTGATGCTTTGGAGGTCGTCCCAGTCTCTTCTTTCTCTTCCTCTCTCTATGGTGATTATGATTTTATGCAGTAATTTTTTAAAACTAAATACGTTTTCTGGCAGTTTGTTCTTAAGTATGGGTTGGTTGTAACTGCTTGTATTCATTGCTGGGAAGTAATATTCATGTTCTGCTGTAGGCTACCAATAGGTATCTGATTGGCCATTTGGTTGTGGGGCTGTTTTCATAAGTCTTGAGTGTATTCCCTCTCTTATGACATTATTTCTATACTTATCCAAGATAATCCTTAAGAAGATGACTATTTTTTCTAGTTCCTTCCAATGTGCCATGTGGATTGTTGTCAACAGATTTCTCCACTTTATCAAAGTCTAGTTTGTAAAACATCTCTAAATTACCCTAGAAAACTGAGTAGTGCCACTGGAAACATGTTTTGCTCTAGTACTTTTGCCTTGGTCGCCCTGTACGATGACCTGTGCAGGGAGAAAGACAGGGGGAGTGCGTCCCTGTTGGTTCTCCTGGATCTCTCAGCTGCTTTCGATACCATCGACCATGGTATACTTCTGGATAGGCTAGCGGGATTGGGGGTCGGAGGCACTGCTTTGCAGTGGTTCCGCTCCTACCTCAATGGCCAATCCCAGAAGGTGATGCTGGGGGACTATGGCTCTGCGCCATGGCAGCTATGCCATGGAGTTCCACAGGGTTCCATTTTGTCCCCCTTGCTATTTAACATCTACATGAAACCGCTGGGGGAGGTCATCAGGAGGTGTGGGCTGCAGAATCATCAGTACGCTGATGATAACCAGCTCTACCTCTTGTCTTCTACCAATCCAGGTGAGGAAGTGGCTGTACCGAACCGGTGCCTGGTCGAGGTAATGGGCTGGATGAGGGCCAATAAACTGAAGCTCAATCCAGACAAGACAGAGGTCCTGTTGGTTGGTGGATCGGGCTTCAGGGAAGGGGACCTGAACCTAGTCCTGAATGGGGTTGCACTCCCTCTTAGGGACAAGGTCCGCAGCTTGGGAGTGCTCCTCGACCCAGAGCTTTCACTGGAAGCTCAGGTGACAGCAGTGGCAAGGAGCGCTTTCTTTCAGCTTTGGCTGATCCATCAGCTGCATCCCTACCTGGAGAACGACTGCCTGGTGACGGTAACACACGCATTGGTGACTTCCCGACTTGACTTCTGTAACGCGCTGTACATGGGGCTGCCCTTAAGACAGTCCGGATACTTCAATTGGTTCAAAATAGAGCTGCCAGGCTGCTGACGAGGACTGGGTGTTATGTTCACATGACTCCAGTTCTCCGTCAGCTTCACTGGCTCCCCATTGAAGTCCGGGCCCAATTCAAGGTGTTGGTGATGACCTATAAAGCCCTTAACAGCTTGGGTCCTGGTTACCTGAAGGAGCTCTTATGTCCATATATGCCTGCCCGTCCCTTGAGATCAGTGGGAGAGGCCCTTCTCTGGGAACCCTCCGTGAAGGATTTTAGGAGGGTATGTACTCGGAGGAGGGCTTC